AATTAGTAATGTGGCGTATACTACTGACAAGTTCTATAAGTAGGATATAGATAGACAGAGATATAAATATGTATAAATAATCTACATGAATATTGAACAGAGTAGAGATGGAAAACAAGAAATGAACGCTGCTTATGATACAACATGGTAAACATGAAATGAAGATAACAGTAGTACAATATCGACTGTATGTGCAAATCGTGAATCGAGGTGTGCAACATTGATGGCACTGAAATAGAGAGAGACGAAGTCAGAAATTAAATACCTAGACGTCATCCTATCTACTGATCTTTCCTGGTCGTCTCATATCTTGATGATTTCTAAGAAAATATTCCGTCTTACCTTCTACACCAAGGAGTTAAGACATTCTGGTATAACCCAACCTTACTCCTACAATTCGTTAACTCCCGTATTCTGCCTATTATTCTCTATTATTTCCTCTTAGTTTTTCCAGGGCTGGTTACTGAAGAAGGACTATGCCTTATTACGCAGGATGTTAAAGGTTGTCAGCAGAATAAGCAACGTTCCACTTAACCAGCTTGTTAATATTCTAGTTGACAGGCACATGGACTCATGTGAAAAATGGGCTAAATCCATTTTATCTAACTCACGACACTCTCTTCATTCACAATTCTCTCCTTGTATCTCGTCAGGCAAAACCAGAAGCCTACATAGAAAACTATATGCTCGCACTACCAAGTACAAAAACTCGACTATACCCTGCTCAGCTCGTGTTCTGTGCGATAAAGAAGAAAGCACTAGGCGTGATACCTATAACTTATTAAGTAGTCAGTAGAACAATTGGATCTCGTCTTTCCAACTCATATCATGTATAGGTACAACGTGTTGTTTCTTTCTTTCTTTTCCTTTTTACTCTCTCGCTTTTCTCTGTTATGTGCAGCTTTGTTTCTTTCTTCTGCTTACGCCAGTAAATGTGCTAGAACCTACTTTTCTGGTACCTTCAGACACTCTGTTTAATTTCGACTTTGCTACCGCCATGCTACCGATATGTTGTTGTCAAAACTAACTGAGATTACCCATAATCTATGTAAAATTTTATGTTTTATTGTTAATTTATTAACTGGATGCAGCACTGTATGCAGTAAAATGCTGAGAATTCCATTCTGTATCACAAGTACTGTTTTGGAATAAAGCTGTTTTCATTTTCATTATCGAATAATACATAGTGTAGACACATTTTGCAAGTCTAAGCCAGCCATATATATATATATACAGTCAGTCAGTGTTTCTATATGGGACAGAAACTTGCACTACACATGTGTATTACAGAAAATATTTCCAACAAGTTGCTGCAGACCTTCATCAACAGCTTCTCACTTCTCTGGTTGTCTCCATACTGAAGATCCAATGGCCAGCCAACCAGAAACAATTAAATAGCTAGATACTCTTCGAAAGAATAAGCCAACCAAGAGCCGATTGCTCAACAGATAATGTAGGACAAATTATGATTTAACGTTTTGAAATATCACTTTTGATGGTTTCGAAACTTCATAAAGTTTGTGTTCTAAAGTTATCTACAAACAAAAAAAAAATTATCTAAAGAAAAAGGAGTTCAGAGAGGAATTACTCCTGTTTTCAACGGGGTATTATTCCCAAGCTGTGTACAATCGCGTATATATATGCATATAATATAATAAATTGTCTAAGCAAGTGAAGTAATATTTTAAAGAATGTGTCATTAGATTATATATGTTCAAACCAAGTTCACTTTTAATGGTTTGAAAAAATTTGTGTCATTAGAACTGAAAACTGTTTTAGACAATCAGCTGCATAATGTTGAAAGCGCTTATAAGGTAGGAAATAAAATAAGGAAAGCAATTTGATCGACATTGTAACAACAGGAGACAAGGGCCGGCAACAGATCCTTTTACCACGGAAATCAGCACGTATTTATATATATTTCATGTACATTATTAGTATAGCTTATTCAATCAGACAAACACAGTCTTCTCATTGGTTGTTTTTTTGCTCAAGGTTATTCTGTACTGCTTGTGACTGGTTTCTCAGAAAGTTAAGCCACATATCTGCGAATCTTATTTGCCCATGTTAAGTCTGCTGTGATTGGTGTTGTTGAATCAGTCTTGTTCATATTTTCTCACGGCCAGTATTAGTGACCTAGACATTGACGTAAATTATTGTCTAGCAATCGGCTAGCAGTCTGCTCTCACCACACTATGACTATAGGTATGTGTTCAATAATATGTTTAGGTAGCAAACGCTGGATACGGCCCACACACCTATCTCCCTATGAGAAGATAATTGGTAAGGTAAACATTAATGAGGCCAACAGGAGTTGCTTATCCTTCAAGTTCATGTGAATCACTGGTTTTGTAGTGAAGGTTAGTTGGAGTTCAGCTTCGAAGAGTATTTTGCTTCAGTGAGCTGGACAGGCGTTTCCTTAGTATTTCTGCTGGAGAGTATCAGTTGGATTGTAGATTAAGGCAGACACCTTTGTTGGGAAACAGAGAGTGTGAGCGGATTTTGTGGTTTAGATTTCATAGATTCTGTGATGAAGCGTTCTTGATAGCCAATTTCCGGTAAGATTCTCTTCAGATTGTTCAGCTCCTCCACCATAGTGTTAGGACTACTAATGCTGACAATTCTGTGACTCATTGAACTGACCAGGTTTCGTTTTGTGTGTAAAGGCAGCCAACTACTACGGAAGTTAACGAGTTGTCCGTTCCATGTTGGCTTTCTACAGGTGAATCTTTCTGTGTCCCATATTGTTCTTGTCTTGTTAACTGAACGTCTAGAAAAGATATTTTTGTGTGTCTGACTTCTCTAATATGAAATGAATCGCAGGATTGCAGCTGTTGAAGAAGTCCAGAATGTTCTGCGAATTCTCCTCATTGTTGAAGATGATGGGGGCATCGTCCGCGTATCTCTTGTAAAACCCAACGTTGTCAATCATTCTCTTTAGATGTGTGTTTTCTAGTTTTCATATGAAAAAGTCTTCAAGGAATGGCCAAGTAATGTGCCAATAGCTGTACCATCTTTTTGTCGATATAATTTGTTATTGAGAGAAGAATAGGAGTTCTTTAAGATATTCAGTGGTTATACCAATCTTCACCCCTCTGAATCAATATTTTCACGTATATAATTTATTGTTTCAGTTAGTGGGATGTTCGTAAACACTGATACTATATCCAATGAGAACATAGTTTGATTACAAATACTGACGATTTTAATGTAATTGACAAAATCGAAAGAATCTAGGAGTGATTGGAAGGAAATTCGCCTTGTGACTGGTTCTAGTAGGTCCACTAGTCATCGGGCAGTGCAATGATACGGTGAATTAGTCATGTCGAGGATGGGTCGAAGAGGTATACAAAATTACAGTCATTGTTGCTATCTCATCTAGAAAAAAGGTGTGATATTTAATGAGAGTTAATGAACTGAACGGTGACAGATAAAGGCTGAGATCACACTGTGGAGGCAGATCAGTGACCTGCTTATATCATTTTTATTATTGTTTTCTTTAGTTTGTAGAGGAACATAGGGTTTCAGCTTCAACGTCTCCATTGAGTTCAGTTCTCTGCCAAAGTTTTCACCTGGCTCCACGTCTGCCCTCATGCTTTCATCTCCTCTTCGTAACAACTGCTTCTCCTCCATGTCACCCTAGCATTGATGGCCGACTCACTCGCCGCTTCCCATTCGGGTTTTACTCGAGAGCCTTAAGTCTGATGTCACTCATTTGATGGTTTTCTAAGAGTATGTCCAATCCAATCCACCTCTTTGTCTTCCCACATATTTGTTACACAGTTGGTTCCTGCTGAGTTGGGTTGGTTCTTCGGTCAATTGCAAGAGATCCCTGATGCTGATCCTTTCTGGCACACATTTTGATCTTGAGAGAATAATTGAGTGAAGACAACTGTTAATGACGGGGGTTGTAGTTTGTTCGAAGTACGCTTCGTGACGCGACGTGGCTTTGGGTCAAGTCTCTGATCCGCATAACAGCACTGACTTCACACTGCAGTTGAAAATCTGCATCTTATTCTTCATGCTCAGTACTGTTGATCTCAACACAGACTTGAGAGTAATAAAGACTTGTCTTACTTTCCCGATCCTCGCTTTGATGATGTCCTCATCAGTTCTGTCCGCCTGTAGTTGGAACAATGCTTCCCAGGTAAGTAGGTAGGTGATTGTTGTCTGTTTTTGTTGCTGTTGCTGTTGGCCAGGAATCTTCATCACCTCTGTTTTATATATATATTCACCTGAAGTCCTATCTTTGGTACTTCTTCCACCAACTTGTTGCTTTTCACTTGCATATCTTCCAGTTTGTAGGAAATCAGACGTATATCATCGGCGGAGTGTGGGTCCATTTTATGCCTGTCTCCTCGTTGCCCGCTGTCTGTCGCATTCCCCAGCCAACCACGATCAGGAAAATCACTGACGATAGTAGGCGACCAGCTTGTCTTACTCACTTCGAAGGATTCCGTAAGTTTTCCGTTGTGGATTACTTGGCATACAGCATTATCGTAAAACAATGTCTACTATTATTGTTGCTATTAGTATTATTAAACCCTGTGAAAATGCACACACTGAAATGTAGTTGAATTTACGTAATTCATAACTGCCTGCCTACGACTTTAAAATCGATGATATATATGCTTGCACAATATTTTAAATTTCTGGTTCAAGGTTGAGGAGAATGTGATTTGTTTGTCCTCCAGAGCATAGTTATTGGCTGAAATGCGATCACACAGTTTTTTTGTAAGCGTCAACTGATTGGTTGATCGTTTTAATTCCCTTGAATTTATATTTTCAATCAGCCATTCATATATTTCGAATTATTAAAACAAACCAAAAATGGATTTCTTTCGCTTATGATTGGTAGCTAATATTTTTGTTATTATTATCACCATTATTATTATTATTATTACTAGTACTAATACTACTACTTTGTGTATTCATGTTCGTGTGAAAAGGATTGTACTCACTTCTTTTATTCCTAAGATATCTAGTTTGTGTACATAGTAATGGCATGTTTGATAAGAACTGTTTTTCCCAAAAAAGGGGATAATCCAACAGCTGGATCACAATCATCTAATGTCGACAATGATATACCCTTGGAGGAGATCCCAATGGAAGAGGTGAGCACTTTTTGTTTTTGTTTAAAAATTTGAAGAAATTTACGAATCTTCGTCTTTCTCTCTCTCTCGCTGTCTCTCTGTGTTTCTCTTGTTGAAGCAGTGAATGTATATATATATATATATATATATATATATATATATACATCAAAGATATGGTATAACTTTGTTTGCCGCTTGTTTCTGTAATCTGAAATGAACTCACCACATTGTTACCCAATTTATTAGTTATTCATCAACTTATAGAACTCTTGTCTTTTTAAATGACTCTTTTGTCATCGTGCTCAGGCTTTTATTCTCTTGTTTAAACTTGAACTCTCTGGGTACGAACTATATAAGTTTAATTATTTGTCTGAGTACTATTTATTAATTTTGGGGTCTCTTTTCTCTAAATGATATTATGTAACATTTGGAAGTATTTTGAAATTGTTCTGTCTGTATGCCACTGATGAGAAGCCGACGAAACAAGCAATGAAATTAACAGCGTATTCTGCACGCATCACTGTTATTCAAAATATAATGTGCCATATTGTATGTAAAAGGTTAGTAACTCAGTGATTCAGGCAGGCCATCAAAGACTGTGGATGAAATAGATATCCTCAAACTTTAAATCGAAAATTTCCAAGCACACATTCCCAATGCTTTTCAACACCAAGCAAGTAGAAAGGTTAACATTTATACCTAAGGATACATATGATAAATTTACGAAGTAACTTCATAACCTGTGTACAATTTCTGTGGCACATAAAACCCATAATGTTTAAGATGCACTTATGTAACTTCGATCAATATAATTTGATCAGGTTCTGATGTGTACAATAGCTGTCTCATTGATCTAACCATACTCAAGTTGTGTCTTCCAAACCATTGATGAGACAGAGGCACATAGTGACTTACGAATTCCATATTGTGTATTTATATGAATACACTTTAACTGAGGGGGGGGGGTAGGTATAATTACTGAAAAAGCAAGCATACAAACCACGACTATTTAGATATAGTATTTATGGTACATCTATCGACAGTAATGTACTTCCGAAGTAAGAATGCATAGAAATATGTTCCTTTTGACCTTCAGAATATCAGGTTAAATGCTAACCTAGCCTTATTCTCAGACGCTGTACGAAAATGTTCACTGAACAGTGTGTAACGGCCACAACCGACATACTGTAGTCTGAATGCAGGAAAAACAATCCCTGCGCTTTCTACGGTACAGCTGACTAACCATTCTATGGTTAAAACGCAATACAGAAGTTTCCCAATTATAGTAAAACGGTAGTTATTTGTTGTAAAATTTCTCCTGTATTAATACTATTCCCTTGAGTTTCAGGTGGAACTTAGGGCTTCAACAACGTATCTTCACTTTATTCTACTTTCTGCTATGCTATTCAGCTGGCTGACACTACAATTCCCCATAACCTCTCGTCTACTTCTCCCTTTAACTTACACCATTTCCTTCATGTCCCCATCAAACCCACGACACACTGCACGTTTACCATTGAGTTTCTAATCTATTAATGGCCCTCGATTTTGCACGGTGTCATTTGACAGACTTCTTAGTATAGGTACAATCATTCCATCTCTATTTCCGCCTACATATTTGTTGAGCAGTTGGTTGTTGGGTGGTTTGTTCATTTCCAGCCAGAGTTTGTTTTGCCGACTGGCCATTCGATCTTCAGTATGGGGATAGTTAGCGAAAGTGGCAGCTGTTGTTAAAAGTCTTCAATGACCTGTTGGAAATGCTTCTCGTGATGCCCGCTGCAAGTTTCCGACCCATATAGAAGCACTGACTGACTGACTGACTGACTGACTCCAGTGACATTTGTGTTGAAAATTCGAATCATGTTGGTTTTGCTGATGCGGAGTGCGGAAGATTTACAAACTGGTTTCATATTGACAAAGGCGTATCTTGCCTTTCCGGTTCTGACTGGCTTCATCCGTTTCGGCTGCCTATGGTTGAAACGATGGTGAAGCCTAGATAAGTGAAGACAAGAAGTAACCCCTGTCAAATCTCTTTATCCCGTTTAATGGTGATTGATGTTGGTTGTTGTTGTTGGTGGTGGTGGCGGCTGGTTATTTTAATCACCTCCGTCTCCACCTTATCTATGTTCACCTACAGTCCTGTCTTCACTGCCAACCAACCAGCCAGCCAACCAGCCTGCTTCTCCTGTCAGTTAGTTGGATTTCTCTTGTAAGTCTTCTAGTTTGTTTGACATTCAACAACATAAATCATCCACATGCGAAATTCAGATCTTCTAGAATCCTCTGATTGGTCAGTGGAGCGTATTCCAGGAGCTCTCAGTGCACAGTATGACGCATAATTCAGTTCACCACAGTCAGGAATTTTTATCCGTGACAGTAGGTAGGCAGCCTGTTTTGCTCCTGTATTCACTCAGAATGCCTCGTTAAATTTTCCGTTGTGAATCACCTGACACGTGACACTATAATATGGCCAGTCGGCTGTTGAATGAGGCTGATGAAGATTTGGGCACTGTACTGCATAGTGTTGAAGTACTTTATAAATTACTTCTCGGTCAACGCTATAGAGGTTTTCATGTGGGCTTGTATAAAAAAATACACAATGAATACATTACATAAAACAAATCCAGCAGCATAAGACTTAGCAATAAAAAGAATGTTAATAGTTCAGGGATATAATATCCGGCATTCACATACCTAGTTCAGCGTTTGATTCTCGTTCGACGTGCTAATAAATCTTGTGTAGTCGCCATTGGCTAGTTCATAAAACAAGAAGTTTCAGCGTTTTAGAGCCAGTAACCGTACCCACGTAAAATAACAACACAAGCTCCACTGAAAATTCAACGTCCTGTTATCCACTCAGTACCCAAAAGAGGATAGGATAATCTGCTGCTAACTGAACAATTACGTAAAAATGACTGAAGTATTCCAAAACTAGACCAAAACTCTAAATATGCCTGGCTTGTGAGGCTTAAAACTATGGATAGACAGTGGATTAAGCCAGACTAAAACTCGTCAAAACCCTTGAAATCATGTTATGACCCTGATTCACTCTGAATTGAAAGTAACAAGGCAATTAGTATTTGGAATTATCATAATTCTCATCTTTCATACACCTAAATATTCCACCTCTAATAATCACTTCAATGCACAGTAAAAAAGTTCCTTACACTTTTTTAATTCAATGTGACGTAAAGGTGTGGTTGCTAACATAACGGCCAAACTCGCTTTCTTTCAGAACTCATTACCAGAGTGTGTTGGTACAGAGCTGAGCCTTTTTGGGGTGTCTGTTGGCCATTCCACTGCTGAAATATACAAATGCACAAATAGCACTTAAATAGGCCGACAATGCTTTTTAGGACAAAGCAGTAAAAAGACGTAATTTGTCTGAATACTTTAATGTATTTGCACAGCACATTTCGAACAATCTGACCACACACGAACTTGTCGTAGGAGTAAATGTATGTGAAATTAATAGGGTGAAAAGGTGAAGAAATAGACTTATGTCAATTTAAAAGAACATATTGAACGTCAAAGTAACAGTGGAGATCAATGAACCAAATAACAGAGGTAATAGTACATCTACCCTGACTATTATTAACAAAACAAAATTTACCAAAGACAGTGGACTTCGTGTGATGTCGAATTGTTGCTTTGAAAGTATAAAGCTGGTTTGAATATCCTAATTGCTAGCTAGGGCTTCCATATACTTTAGGATGGGCCTTCCCCCAAACACCTTCTATAGATAGGTTGAAAAAACGTGTAAACACCAATTTTATGACATGTCCCCTCTGTAATATGTTTCACAATAGACGAGCTAGGTCGTCCTATGTTCTCATTATTATTAGGCTTGTGGGGATTCGTTTTGGTTCTAGAGCAATTTAGGAATAGGTTGTGAAGCCAGCCTTCAGTTGCAGAGATGAACGAGTCCTCCTTATGTATGTGTGTGTGTGGCCACACGTACATTCAAACTGGTAGATATTGTGGGATGTGACACAATTTTTTCCTGTTCTAAGGGCTTAGATGAATCCATATATTGGCTTCACATTCTCAGTTATTCTGATCTTAGCTGCACAAGAAGTCTTTTCAACAACAACAGCGTTCAATCTCTATCTAGTTGTTAAACTGCTATGATCACCCACGTAGGGTCGCTTGATGCACACGTCTTTCTTGTTGACGATTTGGGGAGTGGGTTTTGGTGTTCTGACTAATTAATATATCTCCTAATGAACTTGTCTGGTTAATTACTGTCAACCAGAGTTTAAGTTGTCTTTCCTTACTCCTCATCAAGTGTGTCTTCGATGCACATTCATTGAATTCTACTGAAGCTGCACCTAGCTCACTAAGGGTCTTTTGTACCTACCCAGATGAAGAAGACGGCAGAAGACACGACAAAGTACAGATGTGATGTTGAAGCTCAGTCTTTCACTCAGAAAACAAGGCAGTAATAATTACGATACGAAAGAACCATTCAAAATGAACTATACTGAATAGTAAGAAAGTTGAAACAACACTAACTTGTAAACGGCGTTGAATTCCACTCAAGTTATGGCCTTGTAGGCAATATCAATCAATCGTCATGATGAATTTCTACGGATTGTATGAATCTTAGAATAGGAAGATGTACAGTTATTAGAAAAGGAGATCACAATAGTTTATAGTTCCTATTTCTACCTTTTTTTATTAGTGAAAACAACAGACTTCTTCAATTAGTTTCTCACCATCGACTAGCTGGCTGGCTGGCTGGCTATACACCAATATATGGTCGTTTTTCACATCAAGATGTATTACCAATCAAGTGGTCAATGTAGGACATATAGATATATCTGCTAAAAGCGGCTCTTACCAACGCATCATAGCAACACCACTAACCTGAAGGTAGTATACATCCGCAAATGTGAATCTAACATTACTAGCATATGGAAGTAATAGATATATATTCTTACGATATGTCCGTATGTGTGATCAGATTGTTCGAAATGTGTTGCACAAATGCACAATACACGATTCAGACGAATTATGTT